GACCGAGCCTTGAAGGGCCAAACTAGGGAGCTGGGCCTTGTGGTTGACTGCCAATAACCCACAGAGTGGGTGTGGCCCAAAGGACTTTGCAGATGGGGTTAGAGGAAGGCACTTGAGCTGGGCGGAGGAGCCTGGATCCTGGATGTGATCGAGTGTCCCCCTAAGCGGCAGGCAGAGGGGGAGCTAGCCATAGGAGAGGAGATGCAAGGACAGGATTACAAGGTTGAAGTGCTACCAGAGAGGAGGCCTGAGCCAAGGAGTGTTGGGCCACTAAACCAAAAGACGGACTCACTGCCACTGAGTCGGTGCCGACTCACAGGGACCCTGCAGGGCGGATAGAACTGCCACCTGTAGGTTTCAGAGATGGTAACTCTTCATGGGTGTAGAAAGCTTCATGTTTCTCCTGCAGGGAAAGATGCATTGGACTGGTAGCCCGGTGCATAACCACACCAGCACCAGGAGCCAGAAAAGGCAAGGGGGGAATCTCCTCGTAAGCCTCCCAAGAAACTGGCCCCATCTACACGTGGACATTAAGCTTCCAGAACCATAGGAGAAAAATGGCGTGCTCTTTTAAGCTGCTTTAAGTTTGTGGCCATTGGTTACAGAAGGTATAGGACACTAGTGATAGCCCCAGCGGCGCAAAGAGTTAACGCGCTAGGCTGCTAACAGAAAGGTGGGAGGATTAAGTTAATCAGCAGGAAGAGAGGCCTGGCGATCTCCTGAACCACCAGCCCCTGAGAAGCTACGGCACCGTCAGTAGTTGGAGGTGGTTGCATGGGAACTGAAGACGTGGACGCCCGACTGCCCCCAGTGGCATAGGAAACCATGGCGGCGACTCTGAGAGCCGAGGTTCAGAAAAGTCATTGAGTGAAGTAGCAGAGGGGAGGAGGCTGAGGCAGAGGGGCCTGCGAGGACACTGGTGAGGCGGCCTGGGCTGCGTGAAGACAGGGTGTTAGGGACCAAGCAGGGGCAGACAGAGCACCCTCTGTGGGGAGACTCGGCCAGCTCAGCTGGTGCTGGGAGTAGGCTTTGGGCTGCAAACTGCAAGGCTCTCAGAAGAAAGAGGAGGCTGTGCGCTCCTGGAGAAGTTTACAGCCTCAGAGGTGGGTGGTTGATAGTAGCCTGCAGCACAGGGAAGGGAGGATGGAGTAGCTCAGCTACACCCCCCTGCGGCATCCCCTACTCTACCCAGGGCTGATCTGATCTGGCCGAAGGCTCCGTTCAGGCAAACACACACCCCAGGCAGTGAAACGGGTCTGGATCAGCTCTGGCCCTGGTCCCCAGAAGCAGGGGCAAAGGAGCCTCAGGGGAAAAGCACAACCTGGGACTGTTTCCGGGCCTTCTGTCCTGCACCCCCACCCAACCCTCGAGGCTGACTGGTTCTCCCAACCTTCTCTGAGAGTTGGGTTAGAAGTCAGCTGATGAGTCCAGGGGTCCAACAGGTACAAGGAGCGCCAGGGTGAGCATCAGTGAACAATATAAGTTCCTCAACTGGGTCCTGTCAATTGCTTTGTTGGATATGGTTCATGCCCTCTGGGTTATAATTATTATACTTTACTGAACTGAATTAGCTTTCCACTTGAGGCGATTTTCTGAAGGAAGGAGCGTGGAAGTCAGGGTTATGACATTGACCTCACGAAACCATTCATCACACTGAGCTCCAAGGATGTCATTTCTATATCCCTGGTGCCAGCATGGGTCCTGGCATGTGGGCACCTGACAAGTTCCTTATTTGCTGAATGAATGACTGATGGAAGGATAGATGGATGAAAGGATGGATGGATTTAAGGCTCAGTCCCCCAGACCAGGGTGCTATGGGGGCAGAGGTATGGTCTGTGGGAAGAGGAAGAAAAGTAATATTTATTGAGAAAATTCGAAGCAGTCTGCAGCCCTAAGGGTATTCTGCCCGGTGTGGCCCCTGGCAGCTGCAGCTCGAAGCTGCCTTTCGACTGACTGAACTTCGTGAAGGTGTCTGAGGCCGGGGTGCCGTTTCCCTTTCTACACAGCCTCGCCTGTGGCCCGAGTGACTTTACTCTCGGTCTCTTCTGCATCCTGTTGTTCCTCCCAGCTGTCCATTCTTGCCCCCAAGGGACCGCTGTGTTTGCATATCCTGCACTCTGCACAGCAGGAGGGATCCAGGCCTTTGGGATTTTCTCTTCTAGATGGGAAACTTCTAAATCATTCTCCTCTTAACTCCATGGATTAAGGCCATAACCCCCTCACTGATGTTCCCATATGTGGTCTTACCCTTCCCACCAATGCCCTAGGTGGCACCCAGAGCCCTCTTTCCAAAGCAACGGGTCCTCCTTGCTGGTCCTCCAGTCTCTTCCTAAGAGCTACAACCATGATGTCCAGATCCTTTGGCCGGCATCCAAAGCCCTCCTGAGTCTGCCAATCCTCTGCCCCAGCTGTTGGAACATCCCCAAGTGAACAGCCAAAGCAACAGCAGATGCTCAATAACTGTTCTCCTTCGAGCCTCACAATATACTCACACTGTAACCATCTCCGTGCTGAGGATGCCCCGAATCGTGAATTAGTTAGCACTCAACTGTTAGTGAAAGATTGGCCATCCAAGGCCACCCACAGGTACCTTGGAAGAAAGGTCTGACAATCTACTTCCAGCGAAACCATATGGAGTCCAGTTCTAGTCTGACCAAGAACCAGAGGTTACCTGAAGACGACTGGTGGCATTTGAGTGATATTAGATGGGTTAGGTGACCACTATGACCAAGAAGCAGCAGAGCTGGACTTAAAATGTAGGACTCCTGATTATATAGACAACATGGCTAGAAGATTCTAGAATCTCTGGAGTTAGGAGACCTTTGTCCAGGACCCAGCTGTGTGATCCTGGCCTAGTTTTCTGGGATTTGATGCGCTCCTTTGAAAAAGGTGCTCGTGGTTCCATCTTAGGGGGTTCTAATGAGGGTTAAATGAGACAAGGTTTACCCGGTGCTGTTGAAGGCCACTGGCCCAGCATGTGACAGACAACACGCAAACTCAGACATCTTATCATTATGGCTGTCTTTGCAGGCACCCCCCCTCCTTGTGCCCCTCTTATAGGACCCCCCCCATAAATGGCTGGGCTTGTTACCTGTCTGCAGCTCCCTGTGGGGCTTTCACCTCAGTCCTACACCACACCTGTAGCTTCAGGGGCTTCTCTTCCTGCCCCGTGTGGTTTCTGCTTTGGCTCCTGGACATCTGGGAGTTGGTGGACCTCAGAGAACTGTCATGAAAGTTGTGGGAATTGGGCCTGCAGCAGAAGAGCTGCTTATAGGCAGTGCGGAAGTCTCTGTTCAATGCAGCATACAGGATGGGGTTCAGGGCTGAGTTGGCATAGCCCAGCCATAGAACAATGGCTTCGATGACCTCATTGATGGCCTCGTCCCCTCTAAGCCCACGGTAAACAAACACGGTGAAGTAGGGGAACCAACATATGATGAAGGCCCCCATGACAGCGGCCAGGGTCACTGTGGCTTTGTGCTCTTTTATGGTGACTGCATTCCAGGCGCTGCTATGATTGATCCTCTTGGCCTGCTCCCGGGCGATCTTGAAGATGCGGTAGTAGGTGATACACATGATGAGCAGAGGCAAGTAGAAGGTGACCAGTCCATCCACCAAACCGTAGACTTCATTGACCTGGACTTTGCACTTAGCGGTGTCGTTGCCATTGCTGGTCTTGTTCCTGCTATTCCAGCCCAGATGGATAGACAGGAAGGACAAAGTGATGGAGATCACCCAAATTAAAACCAGGGAGATGGCCACTCGGACAGGGGTGACCAGCACGGGGTATCGGAGCGGGTCTGTGACGGCGCAGTACCGGTCCAGGCTGATCATGAAGAGGTTGAGAATGGAGGCTGTGCAGAGCATGACGTCCAGGCTGGTGTAGATGTTGCAGAAGATCTGGCCAAATCTCCACGTGGAGGACAACTGGTACATGGCAGAAAAGGGCAGCACCAGGAGGCCAAGGAGCAGGTCAGTGATGGCCAAGGACACAATGAAGCAGTTGGTCAGACTGCGAAGCCGGCGGTTCAGGCCCACGGCGAGGCAGACAATTACGTTGCCAGCGATGGTGATGCAGATGAGGACCACAAGGACCAGGATGATGGTGATCTCAGATGGAGAGGGAGAGGCCATTGTGAGACCCTGCTGCACCTACCCTGGATCACAGCACCAGGCGGCTTCTCCTCAGTGCCCCGGAGTACCAACTATGTCAGTCACTGGGCTCTGGAGCCCCATCAGAACCAGAAGAAAGGGTCCAGATGCGGTGGAAGGAGAGTCTTCAAAGACTAGCCCAAGGTTATTTTTCTATAACAAAATTCAACAGTCCGTGACAAGGTGTTGGGCAAGAACACAAAGGAAGACGAGGTAAAAAGAGGTTTTGAAGTCAGTTTCGTGGCTCCAACCCCAGTTTTCGGATTGCCCCTGAAGAGCTGCCTCCCTCCCAGGACTGTGTCACAGAGATACCGGGGCACTGTGACCCGCGACTGCAGGGGGTACCCGGGCACTGTGACCCGCGACTGCAGGGGGCACTGGCTCGCTGCTGGAGGGCTCTTGTGAAGACGTGGTCACATCCTTCTTCGTCGCTGGCACCGGCTCCCGTCCATTCGAGGGGGTTTAAGGACTGGGGCTCCTCCCCTTGTGGGGGACACGGAGAGCTGGGTCTGCAAATGGAAGGGTTGCATGGTGAGCACTTTGAAGTTAGGCTGAGAGGGTGACCAGTTCAAGGCCAGTTCTTCTAGAACCGGACCTCCCTGTGACACACCAGGAGCTCTGAGAAGGTATGACTAAGCAGAGGAGGAGGAAGGCCTGTAAGGGACTTGAAGAAACAAAAGAGCCATATGACAAGCTGTTGGCAGGACTCACTCACTGCTTTGAGTCAGTGGAGTAGTGGGCTGAGTCCTGAGCTGCTAATCACAAGGCTAGCGGTTCAAAGTCATCAGTAGCTCCATCGGAAGAAGGGGAGGCTGTCTACTCCTGAGGAGATGAAAAGGCTTGGAAACCCAAAGGAGCAGTTCTACTCCATCCTTCCGGGCCATTGTAAGTTGGAGGGACCAGGAAGGCTGATATCTAGACACAGACTTTTAGCTCCCAGAGGATAAGGGCCATGCCTGCCTGTTCACTGCTTATGCCCAGGGCCTGGCCGAGGGGGTGGGTACCGAGCATCTCATGAACAAATCATACCAATCAATCAATAATTGAATGAATGCAACGGATGTTGTCTGGCAGAGCTCTTAGAGTGTCTGTGATGGCTGTCTTACACACTCTCACCTTGCTCATTTGGACAAACCAGGGGTCCATAAACACTTGCAGGAAAGGGCTAGGCAGTGACGGTTTTCTGCTTTGCAGGCCATATGGGCTCCGCTGCAAACCATTCAACGCTGCCACCACAGAGCGAAAACAGACTTGACAATGTGCAAACGGATGGGTGTGGCCATGCGCCAATAAAACTTTATTTATGGAGATGGAGATTTGCATCGCATTTCATTTTCACGTGTCACAAAATGTTATTCTGCTTTGGGTTCCCAAACCCACCCACTCCCCACCCCCAACCCCCAACCATTTAAAAATGTAACAGCCCTTTTGAGCTTGTGGGTGAAACAAAAACAGCCCTGCCACCCTACTGAAAACACCCCTCTGACTCTTCATTTCCTGAGAGGGCCCCAGGGGACATAGCCCTCGGCTGCAATTGGCAGAGTTGGCAGTTTGAACTCACCTCGAAATGCCACTGAAGAAAGGCCTGGTGACCTGTTTCGCAAAGCCCCAGTTGTGAAAATCTGCGGAGTGCAGATGTATGTTGCACAGTTGGAGCTGCTGACTCTGAACCCACTGGAGAGCAGCTGCTTCGATTGTTTGGTTTGTGGCTTGTGGTTTTGTACCCCAATCGGCTGGTCTAGAACCTGCTCGCTTTGCTCCTGATGACTAAAAACAGCCCATGGGGGATGGGGTGGCGGCGGCCATAGTCTTACTTCATCCTGCACCCCCCCTCTCTCCTCCCTTCCTTCCTTTCACGCCACGGCAAACACCCCTTCAATAAAACAGCAGTGCACAACAGTTCTTGCTTAAAGACAAACCCCGATGTGGTTAGCGGCTGCCAACTTGGTCCTTGCCTCCGCGCCACCCCCCCGAGTCCCAGCAGACCCATCTCAATGATCAATGCGAAGTGGACTGTCCTGATCCAATAGCATGTTCACTGTCTGATTTGGGGAAACAGATCTTTCTAGTCCCTCTCAGTCGGGAACTTTGCTGATCCTGTCCGACATCCTAGCAGCACTGACAGATGGGTGGTGCTTTGCATGAGGAGGACTGGCCAGGAATGGGACATGGTCTCTCGGGTGGAGTGTGGAAGACAAGCATTCTGCCACGAGGCACCAGTGTCCCCAAGGACTCCTTGCTGGTGGCGCTCGCCTAGGTTTCCCATGGATGAGAAGCAAGTTAGGCACCGGCTCAGTTCTTGGACCTTTTCACAGAGCCTGGTGGTGGTTTTTCCAGAGAGCAGCTAGCAAGCCATCTCCTGAACCCACGGAATGTGCAGAAAAAGGGAATCGGCAGTGGAACCTTGCTCAGGAGCCAGTTAATCTCCACATGACATAAATGAAGCCTCTCCCGGGCTCCTGCCTGGAGCTGTCTGGCAACCTGAATATGAGAAGCCTCATTTAATCATAACCACTGTGTAGCTGTTGGGATCGTGGCCCATCACCTTCTGCCACTCCAGCTGGCTCAGCCACCAGCCGGGCCTCAGGGTGCTATTTTTAGCAGATCTTTTCATTACGTAACTACCCCAAACCGCATGGGTCTCACTGCCACACTTAATTAACTTTGGAGAGGGTGGTAACAAGGGTGTCTGTGGCAGTTACGTAATCTCCTGTCAACTTGAGCGAAGGGGTGGAGTCTAGCCTGTTAATCAGGTCATAGCCAATGATACCTCTGTGTGGGCATGGCCTTCTCCTGAGGGTTCTGGGAACTCCTGTCTTCCTCCCTGGAGGTGGGACCCACTCTTTCTCTGCTTTACCTTCCTGTTCACAAGCCACATGGAGCCACGCTGATGGCGCCAGAGCCCTGGAGCTGGAGGAGTCACGTGGAGAGCCACGCCAGCGCTGAGATGCTTCCACAAGACTTTTCACCCACTGGCCTGTGATCTCCCTGCTTTCAGCATCACTGCTTGTGCTGCGTGAGTCTGTAGAAGAATTTATGAACTAGTATCGGACATCTGGGCTAATATCAGACTTATGAACTTGATCTGGAGGGGCTGGGATGTTTTCTTAATGTACAATCACTCGTTGATGTAAAGTTCTCTCTTACACACCTAGATGAGGGTCAGCGAATTTGTTTCTCTAGCCAACCCGGACTAACACAGTGTCTTTTCAAGAATCTCTATTTCTGCTCAGTTTTCTGGATTTTTCCTAACAGTCAGGTAGAGATATTTTGGCATTGGACATCCTTTTAGCTAATTCTAGGGGTTTTCCAACTCTGAGTGGATTCGCCTCTGCTCTGATGAGATGCCCTTCCCTTCCTCCTTGCTCTTCCCTTGCCTTCTCTGTCCCTTCCCTCTCTTCTTTCTCCTCTCACCCCTCCCTCCCTCCCTCCCTCCCTCCCTCCTTCCCTCCCTCTCTTCCTTCCTTCCTTCGTTCATTTCCTCTTCCTTTTGTCCTCTGTTCTACTCAGCAAATGGGACCCTGGCAGCGTCCTGGATTTCACATTGGGCTGCCATCACAAGGTCAGCAGTTCGAAACCACCAGATGCTCCTCCAGAAACAGATGAAGTCTTTCTGCTCATGTAAAGATTCACAGTCTTGGAAGCCCACACGGGCAGGTCTGCTCTGTCCTATAAGGTCACCATGAGTCAGAAATGACTCAATGGTGGTGAGCACAATGGATATGAAAGCAAATATCACCAAGATTTACAGGGGGAAAAAACAACCATCTGGCCCATCACACCTAACCCCCCTTCATTGCTGATGGCACCATATGACCAGGTTCTTCCATGCGTTCTCAGTGTCTACACATGTACACACACATACAGCATATTACTCAGTCTGTTGGCATTTCAATTATGACGTTGGTGAACAATATTGATTATACCATGGACATACCATACCATAGAAAAATGAACCAATCTGTCTTGGAAGGAGTACAGTCAGAGTGTCCCTAGAAATGAAGATGAAGAGCCTTCATCTTGTGTCTTCATCTTAAGTACTTGGGTGGACATGTTATCAGGAGGGCCCAGTCCCTGGGGAAGGGCATCATGCTTGATAAAGCAGAGAGTCAGCAAACAAAAGAGGAAGCCCCTCATTAGAATGGATTGCCACAGTGGCTGCAGCCTTGGGCTCATGCCTAGCAAGGTTTTGGTGAGGAAACTGGTAATGTTTTGTGCATTGGCTTACAATGAGTCAGAACCGACTCATGGCCCCAAATGATAAAAAACAACATTTAACGTTTCCAATATATGATGAGGCCCCTCTAGGTCAATGGGGCCTGGTGATGAAGTGGTTACACCTTGGGCTGCGATCGCAAGGTCGGCAGTTCAAAACCATAAGCTGCTCCACTGGAGAAAGACAGGGCTTCCTACTCCTGTAAAGAGTTCCAGTCTCAGGAAGCTCACGAGGGTAGCTCTACCCTGTCCTATAGGCCCCCGTGAGTCGGCAGTGACGTTGGTTTTGAACTGGGTCACTTGGACTCTAGCTGGTAGAAATACAACTGCCACGAGGACTCTTTATACTGTGGAACCCTTCTGGGTAAAGTGATATTTCCTCTATTACACATGACACTAGTTAATCCTTACAACTACCCCATGTGTGAGGGGGAATGACTGTCTCCGTGTGACAGTCCAGGAAAGTGAGGCTCAGAGGCAAAGTGACCTCATACCCCTAGTGGGTGTGGCAGAGTCTCCGTTCAAACTAAACTCCTTTGACTCACTCACTGCTCTCCAGTCCATTTTGACTTACAGCTACCCTCTAGGACAGGGTCGAACTGCCCCTGTGGATTTTGGAGACTGTAACTCTTTATGGAAGTAGAAAGCTTCATCTTTGCCCCAGGAGTGGCTGGTGGTTTCAAACTGCTGAGCTTGCAGTCAGCAGCCCCATGCATAGCCTGCTGCATCACCAGGGCTACTTTTTGTCCTACAGTGTCACCAGTTCAGACCACCGAGCATTTCCTCAAATGTAGCAGGACTTTTCACTCGTGCCCCCAGGGTTCCACTCTGCCTTCTATTCACCACAGGCCCTGCCACAATGTCTCCAACTTCTCAAAAGTTTCCTAAGTGCCTGGAGGCAAGAAGGTTCTGTCTTTGGGATTCCCCTGCACTTTGCAGCACCTGTTACCTTGTATTGTCAATGTAACTCAGTATTCCCATTCTCAGCTAGAGTGGGAACCATGTAGGCCAAGGACCAGATCTTGTCTATCTCTCTCCATCCACTCACTCACCCACCCATCTATCCACCCACCCACCTATCCATCCATCCATTCACCCACTCCCACCCACCCACCTATCCATCCATCCACCCAGCAAACATGTCCTGTCATCTATATGGTGGGTAAAGCACTGGGCACATGCAGCATCTGTGCACACACATACATACATATTTATGGTTTCCCCCAACTTGGAAGCCTAAGCAATTGTTGACCTTGGGATTCAATGTGCTTGAGGAGTTTCAGGACATGTGAAA